AAAGTATAAAGTTTAGTTCTGATTCGTTTTGCATTTTTTGACTTTAGTTTCTTTTTCGTATTAATAAAAGGTGTTTTTTTGTCCTAAGGTGTGCTTTGCTTTTTTCGGAGCTCGATTCTTGACCAACGTTTTCATTTCCGCATGCAGCACGCAGACTGCGCATTCATTTCCGCTTCCGGTTGTGTCATGGGGTTGTATTGCGTGTTGTCTATCACACATATCAAATACAGACACCCACATACACTCATACATTCTGTCATATTGTATTCTATTGCCATTTGATATTTATTGGTTTTCCCCTCAAACTTTTTATTTCTCGCCCAGCAGGGCGACTCATAAAATATGTAACACCTTTAGGAGTTTGTGTTTAACTCATAGTCCATATATAGTTAAAATTAGTTTCACATGTCTTCTATTCAGTACTCTTAACTTATTAAGGTATAAATATTATAGATAGTTGGAATTAAGAAAAGATTTTTAATTATAAGCCTTGCAATTAAATTTAGCTTCTGCTCATAAATTTACAATACTCTTTGACCACGGCAGCTACTAAAAACGATCAAATTGTAACTTTGCTACTGATATTATAAATATCGAAAACATCATAGCTCTCAATAACAAGCGATATTGACACAGCTACTTTCAGCTATAGTACTTATAAAGAAAACTAAACTTTTTCTAACTATCGTTTCAGCATCATAAATCGAATACTATTTGCTCTACCTACAACACTTAAAAACATTTCTAATGCAATTCGTGAAAGACTTGAGTTAGGCGAACAGTGCGTATGATAAATATTTGTTTGTTTCATGTAGGCACGCGCCGAAAGTTTACTGATTGCGAGCACTTGATTGGCTTATTGATTTATATGTTGTGAGGCCGCTGAGCTGACAATATTGCTTTATATTTTTATGTATTTGTATATAGAGATATATGTATTTCGGGGCCTACTGGTGTCGAAATGCTGCAATTGCCGTGATGAGAGGCGCGCAGGTCACGTATGCTATTCATAAGGTCATAAATCTGGCTTGAGGCGTCTATTGGCCAATGGCCGCAATGGTTTTTAATACTGCGCCATTAAGTGATGCCAACAGATGTTAATCGCATTGAAATGCTGTAGATTAGAAATTATGACATTACATTAATCTCTCGCTGAAATGGCAGCTCATTTATTTCGGCTCGGGTCGGCCCAAAAAGTCAGTTAAGCGCAAAATATGAGCAAAATGGAAACAGCTGATAAACTTGAAATCTGAACACGGTAAAGCGAACAATGCAAACGGGATGCTGACCAAAATGCAGAGCACCCCAAGGACAGAACTCGTCGAGCCGTGCCCAGTGGACGTTTGCCTTGAAAAGCGGCAAATCATGCTTAATGTGGCATTTTCTGCTCTTTATTGTTATTATGCTTTATTTATTTATTTTTATTTTGAGCTCGAAGCGCGAACAAGCTCAAGATTTAAAAAAAAAGAGAAGAAAAAACAAACAAGAGGATAAAAAAGGCGAGCGAATAAAATGAAAATGGGAAATGGCAAAAGTCAAATAAAAACCGCAGAGGCGAGAAAGGACTTCACTAAGCAGGCGAAAAGGAAAGATGATATAAATTTTATTGTCATGTCCGAGTAGATTAAACTAGCTGCACATACCAGACCCAAGGCCCGAGCGCTTAGCCCGGTAAAGTATGCTACATAAAAGGCACAAGAGATATATTAAGAACTCGACGCGTGAGAGTGATTGTGTATCTGTGTGTGTGTGTGTATGTGTGTATGAGCGAGGACATGCTCATATGCACATTTTCCTCTTTGCATAGCATATTTGTATATATATATATATATATATATGTATGTATATGTATATATATACAAATATACCGTCGTCTGTAAAAAGTTTCATTAATTTTGACATTAAGCGTTGGGATTTTGCAGTTTCTTTTTCTTTTGCTTTTCGTTTCTCTTTTTTGTTCTTTTGAAAATTTATCTGGCAATTCATTTTGACATGACAGCCAAATAAATAATGATTTATTTGTGCCCGACTAAAGGTAAGCCTATGCATGGGACGTAGTCACACCCACCTTAACGACTCCCAGTCAGGCTCATTAAGTGTTTTGGCTTTGTTGCGGCCCACCAAAATGGCCTTAAACTGTCAAAATGTTATAAATTGCCTGCAATTATAAGATTTATAATCTGAAAAGCTGATAAAAGAGTCTGAAGGATCATCACTTGACCCATTGGAGATGCTCAACTCTTATTCATTACGACACACAAATCAGGGAGCATTTCATTTCGTCTATTCTAATCAAATTGGCTAGGCAAATATTTGATTGTCCAACTCAGGGACACAACCTGCAAGGCTCAATTAGCAGTCTTGATGCACACATTAAAAAGAAAAGCAAGAAAAGAACAGTAGCCAAACGAAAAAGCGAAATCCAATTTGAACCCTTCGTCTGCCTCGAGGCTTGACAGTCATTGAACAATTTATCATAATTTCACATAAATTCTCGCAATTCAGCACAAGACAACACTTCTTGGAAGGCATGCGTCTTTCCTTTTTTTCATTTTTTTCCTTTGTATATATATATATATACAAAGGAAAGGGGCATTCCTTCCAAGCAGTGTATATGTATACTCCTGACAACGAAGACAAATTAGAGACAAATGCAAATTGTTGTCATACTTCAATGATTTCTATGTACATATATATATACATATATATATTAATATATATATATACATCAATATATATTATATTTATATGTTATATATATATTTATATTTTTTACACACTTAATATTCATCTCAAATCGTGCGTTGATATTTATCTACAACATTCTTTATGGCTGCCTCCATGTTTTTATTGTTAGTCATTCTGCTACCGAAAAAGATTTTTAATCAGCATTTTTGCAAATAGACTGATTTATAAGAATATAATTTATTTTAACTTTAATTTCAGGTACATTAAGTAATTTCATTTAAGCTCAGGTTATTTGTGCTAAGAAAAACAAGTAGTTCAGTGAAATTAAACCAATTACAGAGGGTAAACAGCGCATATATTTAATTACAAATGAGTATGTGAGCATAAGAAGAGTTATGGACAAGAAAATACCCTACAATATAATTTCCATATTCAATTTCCATATGTTAATAAATGTTATTACTTAATAGAATGAGATGTTAATGGTGAGATAACAGTTGGAGTAACAGCTGCATCAATAGAGAGCTGTGCTTCACTGTATAGATTGTGTCAGTGAAATGCAAATACCGTTTTCATCGCAATCAAATAGGGTATTAGCTGGGAAAATATAATAAGTATACGCGTGGGTAAATACACGGTTGTTAATTGATTTCTTAGTCAATTGCAAAAGCGCCGTCAGATTGCGTAAAGTCAGCTTGATTGACTGACTGACTGACTGACTGGATAGCGGCTGATGGGCAAACCGGTGGAGTAAACGACGCGCAGTGACTGAACTCTTGACAGCACGAAAAGACGAGAAGACATTTGCTTTGCCGGTGAGTGGTGTATAAAATTTTTCTCTTAACGCCCTGTTAGACAATTGAATTGGCTGGCACTCCGACGGCTGCGATAACAAGCCTTTGCACTCCTACCTCTGCGGCTGTGGGGCGTGGCAGGTGGTTTTGTCTGCCACAACTGCCGCTGATGGCTTCCATTAAGGACGTTCGGAACTCGCTGCCGCTGTTATTTTTGCCTTCGCTTTGCGTTTTAATCAAAATGTAATTAACAGCCATGTCGAACGCCGGCTATTGCAGCTCTCAGCCAGATGCACAAAATGATTGAGTGACGTTGACTCTACCCAACTGGCAGACCGTTCTTTCATACACTTGCCAATTTAGTTAACTGTTGCCCCCAAAGATGTTTCCGTTTTTGGTTACTATAATCTAATTGCTGCCTTCTCAGAAAATTGGTTTCGTTTATGACTGATTGCTGGCACTTGACATGGCTCCATTCGGGCAGTCAGTCATAAAACGCTGAAAATCAAATCAATGCTTTTGATGCTCATTAATTTTGAAGAGCTTACGCGCATATACAATCATTGATCAAATGTAAGCGACATAGAAATAATCATTGCACATTGGGTAAAAGTAATTGAAAATGCGAGTCATATTTTAGCTAAAAACTTTGCTTGCAGAAAATATCATTAAATATCAGAGTCAGATGTAGATTTAGACAGAAATATATAATAATATTATTTGATGTGATTAATAGAAATATGCTGATATAATAAAGGATAAGTTCCCACAGCTATAGAAATCATTTGCCCTTCAATACTATACATATCGCCATATCATTTATATCTCATCCAGTCTTTAATCCACTATAGACATAATACAAAAAATAAAAAAAAAATTGGATGTAATCAGCAGGCAGACGCGTAAATGGAAATGCCCACAGGGACAAGCTCACAGACAGACAATGGGCTCTACATTTTTGCATAAATTTGGCCACTTTGTGTCTTTAGCATTTGCTCTCCTTCACTCCATTTTTTTTGCAGCTTAGCAAATTCTTTGGCGTTTGAAAAATGTCGAAACATTTGTCCATTTGCGCGATATGGACAGGAAGGAGCAAACCAAAGAGCCAACAGAAAAAATGTATAACAAAAAAAAAGCGAAGAAGGAAAACTGAAAACTTTAGGAAAGGCTGACCCTTTTCTGACATGCTCGCCGCTGGCCTTTGGGATTAGAGCTTGGCTGCGGGGGAAGTGAGGGGCAAAGCCGAAGAAAAATTGAAACAAGTTACCCAAACCATTTTCGTGCCGCTTACCGCTTGCCAATTTATTCAAATGCCTCGCAAAGTGCTAAATAAACAAGACTGAAAAATGTCTAGGCAATACACAGGGGCAGCGGGACGTTCAAAATTCCCCGAGCATGTGCGTCATTTTTCTTGGTTTTAGGCGCAGAAAAAAAAAGAATGATAGCATGCATAGCATACTTTGCCGAGCTTATGGGGCTTGGCCTCTCATTCACACTCGCACTCGCACTCGCACTTACCTTGTATGGGCACATAAATATTTAGATAAAGACAATCCTCTGATTGATTTTGCAGATAGGGCAGCAAGCGCTTTAGATACTCCAAACGACCCTTGGGCATGCGCTCCATCGCAGCGGTCTCATTGTGTATGTCCGGCAGTCGCTGCGGACAGACGGGGCTGAATCTGCAAGGCATCGAAAATTGGATAAGAAATTTGTGGCTTGGATGCAAAACTTTTTTAAGCCCATCCAAAATATGTAAGTGGATCATTATATTTCTCTGGAAGGCTATTTGACGGGTATAGGCTATACTTAAGCTGTATTTAAACTTGCGCTGAGTCGATCTATTATATCTAGGTAGGTCTTTCTTTAGTCTAGATCAATGAAATCATTTATATTTGATATATTTAAATGAAAATAATATAAGTGCTTGTTAGACATAGCTAGAGACAATAAGTGCGGACAGTAAATTTGTTACACAGTATCTGTTAGTCAAGCACTTTAATTTGCTTGTGACAATTTTTTAGTTGCTTGCTAAAAAGGTTTCGACGAGAAACCTATTTTTTATGCGTGACCTTATAAATAGATTAATTTAGCTGGCATTGTATGGAATCTCTGCCTTCGCATTACAAATTTTTGTCCTTGGGGCATAATAACTTTTTGATTTGAGCTGACAAAGTTTTTGGTACTTTAATTTATTTGGGCAAAAGCTTATTTTGGGCCGCCTGTGAAATTGGTTTTTGATTTTTCAGCCATCTAGCCTTGCTGTTCTCTCTCACTCGCTCACTCCCTCTTTGTTTACTCAATTCTAGTCTTTTCTATCAGCAACATTTGCTGCATTTCTGTGCTGCTTTTGCCATGCCATGCAAATGCCATTTTGGCCTTGTGCTCATTTATGACTGGCTTATTGGCCATGTCCCTCACAAGTGCTCACCCTCTTATTTGCTGTCAGTTTGTGCCTTGAACCCACTTCAAATTTCCAGTATTATTTGTTTTTAATCTGCCGTGTGACAGGCATCAAATCATGCTAGCCCCAAGCACTCCAAAGCGAGCCAAAACTAGTTGTTTGCACTCAATACGCAAACACATTGCACATTGCAACGAGTTAGCCCAAAATGTGGCCGAGGAAAGTGTATCATTTGCTAATTTCAAATGGCTTGATCGGCCAAAAAGCAATTTGTTAATATTTGACATTCGTTTTCAATTGGTTACAATATTAATACAACTAAAATAGTATTAAATTTCATCATCTAGCTTAAAATCAATTTGTTAATTTGTTACAAATTATTAATCAATTTGATAGATATACAAATAGTATGATATCTCTCATTTTCTTCGATTTTCTATTTGAATTGCAATGCAGCACAAATTTGCTTACAGAATTTAACGGATTAACCTTAGCATATCAATTGTCTATCGTCCAACAAGTTATCTTCGTACCACGATTTTCAAGCTTCTTACAGTGAATTTTGAATTTCCTTATAAGTATTGCATTGACTTTTAAATCTAACAATAAAATCAAAAAAATTGTCATTCCAATACATTTCAATTAATAAAAATAATAAGAATAATAATTCTATTCATAATAAATATACCATAACTAATAACTTTACTTTTTTATATCCTGATCTCATTGAAAATGGGAAATCAGGGTATAATAGTTTTGTGCAAATGTATGTAACAGGCAGAAGGAGGTGTGGCAGACCCCATAAAGTATATATATTCTTGATCAGGACGACAAGCCGAGACATTTTTTGTAGGTCCGTGTATAGCACGCGCATTGTTACGTATATTTTATGCAATTTGGTTTTTGTTGGATTTTGGATGCCGGCTCCAAATTTTTCCTATGCGTGTGCACACATACATTCAAATGCGTGTATTCTTTTCTATTCCAAGAATTGAAATTGTGATTGAATTGTGCTGAATTATTAGCTGCTACTTATGTTTAAATTTGCAACAGCTCACGAAAGAAACGCAGTGGCTGCGTTGGTAGAGGCGCAGCTCGTATGCAGATTGGTCCCGGTTCGAGACCAGTGGGGACGAAAAATCTTTTATTGTTTTATTTTTTTTAAATTATGAAGTGGCGGTGTTGGTAGAGTTTGTGCACGTTGCGCAAATAATCCGTGTTCGAAACCTGGTCTCACAATGTCGATTTTTATTTGTTTTCTTTTTTTTTAATACTCGATACAAACAACGGAAAATATTAAAAAACTCAAAGGACTGGGATCAGGGTATCTCCTTGTCGGGCACCCCGACTAGAGCTTTCTTACTTGTTTAACTATGTAGTGGCGGTGTTGGTAGAGGTGGTGCACGTTGCGCAAACAATCGGGGTTCGAATCCTGGTCTCGAAATGTCGTTTTTTATTTGCTTTTTTTTTTTGAATACTCGATACAAACTACGGAAAATATTAAAAAACGCAGATAGGACTGGGATCAGGGTATTTCTTAGTCGGGCACCCCGACTAGAGCTTTTTTACTTTCTTACAGAAATTAATTATTATTCTAAATAAAAAGCTTGCATATTTTTGTTTTCATTGGTTTTAAGTTTTGAGCAGTGTTACACTTTTATTTTCATGAATACAACTCGTATCCACAATCCACTTGTTTTGTGCCCATTGTCGTGTTGTGATTCGCCACAGCTCATCAAGTGGCGCATCTTTTGGGCCACATCAAATTGTCATAAAGCGAAAATCAATGAAAGCATTAAAAATGTCCCTTTCGGGCAGCATATCTATGCGAGTTGTGGGCCCATTATGGCAAGCCCGAACCCATGAAAAAGCATTAACATTAATAGCATTGCGGAATGAGAATATATTTTATTTAATTTTTTTCTTTTTGTCCGGAAATATATTTAATTTTTCATTTTGTTTTTATTATACTTGAAGCGCCTCGGTGAAATGGCGAAATGACCACAAAGTGAGTCCGTGACCCCTTGACCCCAAACAAGTTTTTAATGGACGCTTGTGGTGGTCGCGCGATTGCCGTAATAATCATTAATTTAATGGTTAAACAATAAGGCAGGTAATAAAAGTTTAATTTTTGACTTCATTTCGCGCGCTGTCCGCTAAATGGCCAAACGAAACTGCAGCCCGGCGACAACCCTGGTCGAGCATAAAGGACAGGATAACAAAAATATATATTAAAAATAATGAAAGTGAAAAGTTTGAATGGCGTCAGTTGAAAACGTAGCTTGTTGTTGTTTGCTTTTTCTTTTCCGCTGCAAAAAACATTTCTGACGCCAGGTGACACACCCTGCCGCTTCTAGAACTCTCAGCACCAGCTACAGCTCGTAAAAGCCACATTTTGAATTTTTAATGCGTGCTCCCGCAACCCCATCAAGTGCTGCCCCGCAGCCTCGTGCAAATGTGCTCAGTTTTCAAGTGGATGCGATCTTGTTTATGTGACTTTTGTGTGCTTGCCGTCCACCATGCCCCAACCCCCATGCCTCGACCAAACTCTTTTGCCGCCGTTGCCTTCGCTTGGAGCTGCGCTGATAAGCTGCGTCTCGAGCAAGAGTAATGGGTATTAAGCTTATAAAATGGGCGGGCCAATTGAGGTCATGCTAGTGAAAGGGGCGTGGCTTGCAACAGTGCTTGTAGAGATTTTAACTACAATCGATAAAGGTTCCGAATGCGGATTGACAACTCTTTACAGTTTTTAATACGTTTGTGATATCAACGACTTTCGGCTCTATTTTCACCCGAACTGGATTGTACTGGAGATGATTTTGCAATCATTTGATATATACATAAGTAGGCTTAGTATGAGTAAAATGCCTGAGGATAGTTTGGATAATCTAAAATTAAGGGATGCATTTATCTGAATTGCTATTGAGTCGTAGTGTAAGGAGTTAGTTATTCAGGAATGATTAAGAGCTTTTAAATTTGCTCGATTCTTTCGCTCTTGCAGCAACTGTCAAAAGCTTTTACCACAGCATCAGCTTTGACAAGCCGTCAAAGGCAACAATCACATGTAACAAACCCCCACACACTCACCCATTTTATATCGCACTCCTCTGGAAAGGCTCCCAAGCAACCAATTGCAGTTGTTGTTTTAAAATAAATTTTGCAAGCACTTGGCACTTTAGACGTCACAAAGCTTTTGCTTTTAGCGCAAGGATTATGAAATACAAGCGGATTAGGACCGACAAGTCCTGCGATCGGGCTACCTGTTACCAGTACTATTTCAGTCCCTGCTCCCCCTTAAATTAGCCCCAGGAAGTGGGAGTTTTATGTATGATGCTCGAGTGTTAAAATATAAAATAAGCGTTATAAAAATATTACCGGCATAAAGTTTAGCTAACCGTTTCTCTAATAGAAAGCGCATTTATAAGTGCCACGTTTGAAGGCTTTCTGTTGTGCAAAATAAAGGAGAGAGCGAGAGGGGCAAAATTTGTTAAAAACGGAGAGCGAACAAAATTTTGGTGCCCATCTTTAAAAACGTTAATTCCAATTTCAGACTCAAGTGCGGTGCGCAAAGTCAGGCCAAAAAGCTGGGGTTAGGGGTGGGGCAGTAGCAGTACCACAACGGAGGTGGTGCTGCTGCATAAATTGCTGTTGCCCAAGGTGTAGTTGTTGTTGCGCTGTAAATGAAATTGCGAAAATTCATTTTAAATTGGATTTTATTTAATTTGACTGCGGCGGCAAAGCTTTATGCGTGACTACCGTAGACGAAGCCAGTGGGCGTGGCACGGTGGCTGCGACTGCCAATCTAATTTGTGAACCAGCGAGCAGGCAGCTGAGAGCACGAGCTAGAGAGGGTGAAAGCGACTTCTGCGAGACTTCTGCGCTGTTGCCCACAGGTAAAATTAATCTATTTTGCTTGACGTGGTCGCAATGTCGCATATCGTTTTCGGTTCCTACCCCACGCCCTCTATATCTAAATAAATATCTGCATTTTTCCGCTTGGTTGAGATTATGCTTCTGTTTGATGTATTTAAGCCCAAAGCGAGGCAACTGCTCAGAGTGTCTTGGCCAGAGTCCTGTGCTGTCCTTTGACTTCAGCCTTGGCTGTTGTTCTGTTCAGTTCAGCCACGTTCACGTTGCCACCTTCTGTCCACAGGTCACATGCAGATTATACGGAGCTATGAGGCAATGACGCCCCTGCCTGTCGACAGACGAAATGCCAAATTGCATGTGTCTGGTCGTGTCCTGTCGTGCTGCTGCCCTGCTGTGTCGAATGTCCTGTGACCTGTTTGCTTCCCGCCGTCTAATTTATATGCGTGACGTATTTTTTGTTCCCTGCGATAACTGAGAATTGTTTGTTTTCTGGAAATATTCAAATTTTCGCTCTTGTTTGCTTCCGGAAAATGATAAGCGATGAGCTGAGGTTCTTTGAATGAAAATGTGAAGTAGGCCACGTCATTTGTATGCCTTGGCAACAAAATGATTTGAATCAAACAATGGGAATATTGTTTATCAATAAGTCGGCTCAGGGAAAAGAAAAAAAAAAGATTTGGATGCAAGTAAGATATGTTTTGTGTCTCCCACTGCTGGCTTAGTTTTAATGCTTGTATATAGCTGTGGTAAGCTGCGTCTTAGCTGCACGCTTTTCATTTCTGGCTTTATTATATCTTGTTCTGTGGTGGAGAAGCTAAGATAGCTGAGCGTGATGGTGGTTTGAACCATTCGGACTGGACGTTATGACCCTACAAATTGTTTTTCTACGAAAGCAAATGGAGAAGACTGTACCCCGGGAATTCGTTACTGGTCGTAGATGTAATAGTATAAAAGGAGAATGAAAATTGAGCAAAATTTATAAAACCCTGATATATATATACTTCTATATATATATATATATACTTCTATATGTATTAATATATTTGGAATATAATCAATAAGCAATATGATATAGTGAAATATAACTTGACTTGTTTACTCAAATAGAATATGTATAGCGATATACATTGGAAATAGTTCTTTATTGTTAAAAATTTTATACGTATGCATAAATATGTTATGTAATGAGTCGAATGGGTCAGCGGGTAGAATATATATAAATTTACAATTAACATTGATTGTTTAGAGAAACTACTGGCCCCGGATTATATATATATTATATTAGCTTTAGTTCGAATATCATTGAGTTATTTTTATCTACAATCATTAAATCATATTTCTCCGGAAACTCTGTTCTTGTTTGTCCATTTATTAACCACCTTTAAAAATGTGAACTAAGTTAATAATAGGAATACGCATATCTCTGAGCTTTGCATTGGTAATTTTATCTTACATCTGCCCACCAAAAATTCTTAAATATCCTTCGAAAAGGCAAATAAACATCGTTTCATTTGCCATCAATGCCAGTTTCCCTATAAATTCATTTTATATTTTATTCTAAGCTAATAAGCTTTAAGTACCACCTAAGGCAATTCCTGTGGGCTTGGGGCCAAAATATGTCGTAACGTATCCAGTTTCTTGTTTGGTAAATGATCTTTTATACCTTGGTCTGAGAGCTTCCCTGTCTTGCTGTCCGACAGTCCGTTGATGGTCGAAACAGCTTTATTACGCTGACGTGCTGAAAAATCAGTGGAACATTATTCAAGGAGTTTATTGGCCAGCCAGGCCCAAGCTGTCAACAGGCCCACAGGCAACGAGCGGCAACGACGGGGAGCTCACAAACAAACAGACAAACAGAGATTGCCTGACAATTGCGATGATGTCAGCCGAAATTTTTCGTAGCTTAGCAGCAAAAGCAGAAGCAGCAGCAGGTGCCACACGCTTCGTTCATCATTCGTCAGCCTTGACTTGGCAGAAATTTGGAAAAATTAATTTTTTTTCCGCAGCTCTGATTTTTGGCCCTTTTTTATACCCTGATCCCATTGAAAATGGGAAATCAGGGTAATAATGGCTTTGTGCAAATGTATGTTACAGGCATAAGGAGGTGTGGCAGACCCCATAAAGTATATATATTCATGATCAGGACGATAAGTCGAGTCGATTGAGCCCTGTCCGTCTGTCTGTCCGTCTGTCCGTATCTGTGAACGCGTGCATCTCAGCATCTATAAGAGCTTGAGAAATTTTGTTGTAGGTCCGTGTATAGCACAGGTCAAGTTTGTTTCAATATTCGATAACTATTCGCATTTAATTGTTATCGAATAAAAACATGATTGAAATGCAGTTAATAAATCATATCTCGGACGTCTTAAGAGCTAGAGCCTCCAAATTTTGTATTTAGTTTTATGTATATCTTATGCAATTTTGATTTTTGTTGTATTTTGGAAAAATTGTAGAGAAACAAAGAGATTAATGACGAAATTGGCAGAAGAGCAGAATGAGAAACGTTTTGAAATGATCAAATTTAATTTAGATAAGTTTCAAGCTTTAAATAGGTTATAGAAAATTTAAATAAATTGATGTATATTATATATATATGTTTCCTAAAAAATATAAATTAAAACAGTTTTCCTATAACAAAGTTCACAAATTCCTGATATATATTAAATTTCTTAAAATGCAAGAAACTTTTTTTGGGTTATTATTTGCTTTAGAAAACGTAGTGAAAGAGAAAGACAAATCGGAAACTTGAACGTGAGAAGGTTAAAGTAGTTTCTCTTAAATGCTAAATATTGTTTATTAAATAATAATGTATTTATTTATGAATTTCATAAGCTCTAAAGTGCTTAATATACCCCTCGTTAGTGTTTTTAATACGAGGGGCACAGAGAGAGAGAGAGAGGCAGAGGAAAAAAGTGAGCAAAAACTTCGTGCCGGCACCCTTTTACAAAGCAAACAATACGGCTGCGAGACAGGGCTATCCTGGGAATCTTTGTGAATAATGATTTGCCACTTGGGAGCGTTTGTAAATTAGATGCCGCGACTTCTTATTGTTGTTGCTGTTGTTTGAGTGTCACAGCTGGCTCTCGGCGGGCACTCGGCTGGCGGCAGCGTAAATATTTAATTTGTGTAGCATTTCAAGCAGAAGCCCCATCGTCTCCAGAGCTGACCTTTGGCTTTCCTTATTTCATCACTTTTTTGTCGCCGCGTATTATCATCGTTATTGCTAGTCTGTTATATTTTTATTTGTATTTTCGTATTTTGGGGCCGCACTCGACAATAATGAACCAAGTTAATTGAGGTGACAATTGCCTGGCACAGGCAATGGCTGCGTACTTCAGACCATTTCGTCACTCTCGACCCTCTCGAGTGTCCTTGAGTAATGGGTTTTTGATCATTTTATGTATTTTTGGCACACGCGACAGCGCGCCTTCTATTGCGACCTCTTCGTGGCAAATTCTCAGGCTCAAGTAACTGCAAAATGATTTAACGTATTTAAATTGACAGCTAGGACTTGCAAGGGGTTCGAATTGTTGGCTTCGGGCAATATTAAATTATTAAGACGAGGGTTCAGCAGTTCAGCAAAACTGCGATTGCGTAAAGAATAGCAGCAGCTAAATGACAGATTTTTATTTAGATTTTAAAAGGGACCACAGTCGGTCGTGTAACCTTTTTTAAGCAGTTACTCAAGCAAACATAAAATAATTCACTGCAATTTGTTTAAATGGACTTTAAGTGGGTTATTTTGGGTAAGTTAACATAAAAAGTCGTTAAAAATAAATCATGTAAAAATTGATTACAGACTACAAAAATTGCATGGTATTAATAACTGAAGTTGCCCTTTATACTTCATATTCGTCTACTTTTTGTCAGTTACTTGTTCAAGTTTTACATTTTACTCTTGCATTCCGTTTTTAATTACATTCTTTTACTATTTTTTTTTTCAATACAAGACTTTACTATTCTATTGAGTTTTTTTCTTGAGACTTCCTCATTTATCAGTTCCTAAATCTTCACAATTTGATTTATTATTTTTTCTTATATTTATTCTTATAATCTTATATTTTTTTATTAGATATCTTTAATTTGTAAACCTGTTAAAATTACATAAACCGCTTTTAAATCAGCTTTAAGCCATCCACCACCCGCTTTAACCTAACGAGCAACTATTTAATATTTGATTTAGTCAAATTTATGCCCAATCCCAACGGGTTTTAGGGTTATGTCGGCCTGTGTCTTACAGTTGGCTAGTTGCCCTTAAGTAGTTGCTTGGCCGGCACACGGGTCGTATGATTAACATAAAAGCGCGTCAACTCCTAAACTTTACACACTTACAGCCAGAAATTTATGCGAAAAATTTTCTTAAGATGGCCGCACATATACACACACTCGCACATGCCACTTAGGGTGACTCAAAATCGCCATTAAAAATGTAGGAACCGGAGCTGTTCTGGGCTTGACTTACCTGTCCGCCTTTTTGACGCCCGACCACATGGCCGCCGAGACGGGCGGCATGAAACGCAAATTGCCAACTGGCGGCGAGGCGTAGGGTATCCCACGATACGCCTCAACCGGATCCAAATGTCGCCCATCTAATTGGACAATTACGCCCGAGATGGCGCCATTGCGTGTGTGGATGATGCGCGATGAGAGCTGTGCGGGTAATTGATCATGATTTATGTTGTTGCTGTTGCTGTTGCTAGTTAGTCGACTGCTGCGGTTCGCCGATGATGAACTACTGCTGCTGCTGCTACTAGTGCTGCTACTAGTGCTACTGCTGCTGCTAGTCGAGGTGGCATACGATGAGGCCGCCGAGGATGATGAAGTGAGCGATAATGAGGGCACAGCACTGACTGTGGCCGCATTCGCAGTGGATCCTGTGCTGTTGCTCGCAACGCTGCTGGAGCCAATCAATACGAGACCGCCACTGCTCCCAGCTGCCACGCTGCGATTGGCCGAGCTGTTGTTGCTGTTGGTACTGTAGCTGATGCCAGCTCCGCTGCTGCTGTGGCATGCAATACCAAGCAGCAACAGTAGAAATAAGAGCAGCTGAGATTCAGCTCCTAATGGTTTTCTTCGCGCTCTCGTGAGTGTTGTTGTTGAGCTTGCTGCAGTTGCTGTTGTTGGCGGCAGTTGTTGCTTCAATAGCAGCAACATTTCCATTATTAATATTGGTCAAAATGGCGTTGTTGCAATGTTGTTGCTGTCGTTAAAGTAGTTGCTGTTGCTGCTGTCTGTTGCTGTAATTGACCGCAACAACAACTGTTTGTGGCGTGGCCTGAATCTTTCTTGTTTGTGTTTTTAGCGAAAATTTCTTTGTTTTTTATTTTAATTGGCAGCTGAAGCGAACTGAAAAGAGCAGAGAAAAATATAATTAATATATCGAGCTCCACATATATGGTTTTAGGATACATATAGCTATAATTTGACCTTTGTCACCATTTCGATTATATAAACTCACTTTTTTCTCTTTCCTTCTCTTATTCTGAATCCAAACTGCAGAATATGTATCAGAATCTTTTGAATCTGAATAGCACATAATATTGTTTTTAAATTGTTTTAGATCACTAAGAGACAAACTAAGAACAGTTGGAACAGAAATAGCCAAAAAACCTATCAATCAATTAAATTAATTCAAGAGGTTTATTTTAGCACTGGCCATTTGTTGCAAGGATCAAGTTGAACTCATAAGGAATTTATGTACCTAATTTAAAAATGTTTGCAATAACAGATTGAGTCACATTGAGTATTTCATTTAACTCATATAACAACATTTTAAATATATGTTTTAAGTCTAAAGGAATTTAATTTTCTTGATTGAAAATATTTAAGACTTTTACTCCCATGCATTTAATTCCTGAACTGTTTAGGAACTCGTTATCAAAAAGTGCATTCCTTAATATTTTAATTAGTGTCTGACAACATTTAATTTTCCATATTTTTCATAGAAGTAGATAAATATATTTCTTATTTCACAGAAAGAGAATATGTTATATTTTCTTTATAATTAAAATTGTGTAAATTCTAGGACTCATTCTCCCCGCTCTATGCAAAGTACAGTACTGCAGGGTACAGCATGTTGGGAGTTATTTAACCGTCCATCAAGAAGAAAAAAAGAAGAGCCTGCAATGCCATTTGAAAGTCCTCATTGAAGTAGCTCTTTGCACAAGCTTCAACTCGGCTTTTGGTGGCGTTGTCCTTTGCCATCTCTCTCCTGTCTCTGCCTTGCCGCATTTTTCTTGCTATCTCTTATTGTTTCCTTCTTTTTTTTTATTTATATGGGCACCTTGTTTGCACTTGCTGTAGTGCCCTTGCCCTTGCTGTTGTTGTCGTCGTCCTCAACAACCACAACAGCAATGGCCATACAGCTGGCATTTTACATATGCCAGACATGTCAGGCAGCTGAATGGACCCATGCAGTTGCTGCTGGGCAGTAGGCGGAGCTCTAAGCATCGTCTAGGTAAGGTCATAAGGTTAATGGTTCAAATATTTGAGGCCGAAACTTGGTTTGGCGAGCAACTGAAGATTGCACAAAATCTCAAAACTTTTCACAAAAATTTCATAGTTTTATTGCCTGCAATTAAATTTCTACAGAGCTGCTATATATTCCTTGTTGTACTGACTATATTCGTTTTGTACTTTGCTATTATATCTATTTATTTTCTATTTCATACTTAACATGGCTAATTTTTATATTCAGCTATTTGCTCATTTTTTAATGTATGTCAAATATATGTATTCTCAATTGCTGTTGGCAAATTGTACGCAGCTCTGGAAGAGGGTGTTGTCAGAATTTTTTCTTGCAACATTTTCTCATGCGCCGTGCCGTAGTCAGTTAGTTTTCAGCATTGTTCAGCTGTTGTAGCCGAGCAATGCACTTGATGTTTTTTCATAGCCCAGCTCGACGTGCCTTGGCCTGTCTGTTATTTTTGGGTTTGGAAATACTTTTAGGTATGCCTTTCGGCTACTCACTTAGTTATTCCGTGCGTTGCTCTTCTGTCTGCGTTGAGCTGCTGCAGGTGCTAAGCCTCGTGCTCTGTGCGCTGCATGTGGCTTAGTGTCCTTGCCACGCCTGTTGTTGTTGTTCCTGTGGCTTCTTATATTCTCCTACTTGCCTCAAGTTCTTGGCATACACTTCACGTACGCTGCGCTCAACGGCGCTGCTGTCTGCTGCGTTGTCTGAATGCCTCCACGCTACAATTGTCATGCAAGCGGACATTTTTTCAAGGCTCTCACGTGCTCAACGCCTCTGACGCTGGCTTTTCAAGCAGCTGGCGCCTCGCATGGCTGCAAAAGAGGTAGACAAAGAAGGGAAGAGTGAAAGAGGGCTAGCTTATATGATACTTGAGCTATGATTAATTAAGTGGTGCGTACAAAGTACGCCCTATTTAAATGCATATTAAGTAGCCGCCGCGTGTACAAACAATTTACTTGACTTGCAGTCCGGCTAATGATTGCGTAGAGTTTGCAAAGCGTATTATATAATTACAATAGACCCTCTTCTAGGTTGGGTCTTATGTGAGGCATTGAGTGAGATATTATATATATATATATCCATTATCCCTTATCTATATATATATATATATATATATATATATATATCTATATATATATATATATATATATATATATATATATATATATATATATATATATATATATATATATATATATATATAAGACAAAGCGAAAGAGAAAGGCAAAGAGAGATAAGGGAAACACTTCTGGGAAGAATCAAATTTCGTTTCTGATACTACCCAGTAAATATGTAACCTAATTATATAATATAATGAGATTTTAGATCACTACAAAAATTCATATTATTATTAATAAGTCTTGCAGTCTTTATGTAAGCCAAAGACAACCTGTCTCAAATATGAAGTGAAGTCAATTGGGGGTCTTCTTAAGTCGTTACGCAAACTTTTCAATTATAATGTGCACATCATTAGCAAAGTCTTTAAAAGGCGGAGTCAGAGTTCTAGTCAGTCGAATTAATTGTTTTTCGTGGAAATTGAGCTGTTACCTAAACAGTGAATGTTGCCAAAGCGCAAGTGGCTTTTTAATTTATTTATGCAAATAACGAATGAGTTTTCACTGCCGCGGACCAAAATAGCTTAGCATTTAAGTGCGTAGTCGCACAAGGAAATAAAAGCCAGGCCACCCATGCTCTATCACTGAATACTTTTCTTCCAACAACAACGCCGACGATATCATGAAATGCGTGGCTCAGTTGGGGGCAGATTACATCACGTTTGGTAATCAGCTTGTCTCTCCCTCTCTCTATCTCTTGGCATACTGCTTACAGCATGCAAACATTGTAAATCAAACGCCCTGTTATCCCCATCTAAAGGTGGGGTTGGGTAGTGTTGGAATATTTGGTTATTGTAAATGAGTTATGACGACAATTTTGTGGCTACTTATAGTAAAGGTATGTGTCTGCGCCCATAAAGCTGTACATTAAAATTTGTATACTTTGAAATGATTTTAGACTGCATTGAATTTTTTATTTGAATTTAAAGTCAACAAACAGAACATTTATTTTTATTTTTTTACATTATTTATTAAATACAATATTTAAATATTCATGACTCTTACTTTAATTTTTTTAAGTTACTTTACATGTTTGTTATGTAATGTTTTGATGAGGCGACATTTTTTTATATTTATTTTTATATTATACTAGTTAACTTGCAAAATTACATATTTAAAATGTTGTTTTTGCATTTATTCAATTTCATTTACGGAAATTTGCTGCCGTTAAACTTGGAGCGTAACAAGAAAATGTAGCAAAAACTTGTCAAAAAGTTTAAGCTTGAAAGCAACTTGGGGAATAAACAAGATATTTGGGTAGGAACATTCGGCATTCACATTCCCATTCGCATTCGGAGTGATTTTTATCAATTTGTTAGTCGTTGTGTTTTGGTCGTGTAATTTGTGCGCAGGGCCAGAAAGATAATTGGATTTAGCATTTGTTTGTGCGCCAAATTTAAGTGCGTATAAAGCAAATTCCATTTCGCAAAATACATTTAGCTGGGGCTTTAATTAAAAATCAAAACGCGATAAGAACACAAAACGCGACGCGACAAGATGAAAGTTGCTACAACAACAAATGCGTTTAATTGTAACTCGCAATTCCTTGGCAATTTCCGTGCTTGGAAGCCTTGCCGCCATAAATTCAGGCGCCAGGATCACAGACAGGATACGCAGCGTGGTCGCAACTGTGCGACCGAGGGTCATTAATTTGTCTTTAGAGGCCGCCGAATGCCGACGTAGCATTAAACTGCTTAAGTAGCACAACTAAATTAAGAAAAGTACGCGGTAGAAACGGCACGAAGGCAATTAGTAGGTGAGGGGTGGCTAAAGGATGCCGGTCATCGTCTGCTGATAAAGTTTCAAGAGGATTTGTTCTAAAACCACATAACGCACACACTTACAACGCACTGAGATTCGTAGTTACATTATAAAATAGTGTTGCTAAATCTATGGCAAAAATGAAAGCAGAAACATCCTGAATAATGAATGGGTTGCAGGAGCATAATTCATTTTTGTTTTTTTTTTTGTCCACAGGCAGAGTCAGAGGCAGAGGTAGTCAGGCAGCTATGAATGGTTTGGCATGCAGATGCAATGTACCACGCCCACAGCAGAGGAAATGTTGCAACCGCAACCAAATAAACGTTGAATATGTGTAGAGCATACGAAAAATGCTACTTTACCAGCGGCAACAGCATATACAACAACAACAACAGCAACAACACAAATACAAACAAACACAATGCGCATTTATCATAGAAGAAATACACAGAATACACACACAACATGCATAGATATTAATGTTGGCTGATAAAAGCAAAGCATGATAAACTAAATATGTTGTTGCCTTGGCTCGCAAGCTGCGTATACGTAATATTAAATATATTTCCCTCAATATCTTACAGCAAAGACGAGCTCAAAAGAATGAATTGAATTGCGTCATATCGATGGATAGACTTCAGGCAAATACACCAACACACATAAACATTGTATACAGTATTATTTGTCGAAAAATTTAATCAGTTTTCGTGCATAAAGCAGTTTCTTTGAATGGATAGATTGTACAGCGCATGGAAAAAATGTTGGCATAGGAAAATATGAGTAGGAATAAACGTAAATTTGTATGTTGTTTATATGAAAGACTATTTGAAAAGAAAAAGAGACTACTCATTTTACATTTACGTTTTATTATTTTCGTTCTTTATATACATAGAACGTATTGAAAATGGTTTTTAAGGATATATTGGTTTGGCAAGTTGTATGTAATAGGCAGGAGAAGACTTGGAAGACCCCGTAAAGACCCCCGAATTCCCAGAAAAGAATTTACAATCTTTTACTTTGGCTAATACAGATATGGATGCCAAAATAACTTACTAGACATTTCATTGTGAAAGTCGATCTAGAAGAAGGGTTATTCAACAACTATGTTCACATAGTGAAGCCCATACTGTCTATATACTGCCTATACGTCACATACTTGCAAGATTCAGGATATCTCATAATTGGACAATCTTGACTAGAGAAGTGTTACTTTATTTCCTTATTATTTAATTTACTTTAATATTTTTATCAAATGTTTGTCAATATATTTGGCTAGCAAGCATTTGGGAAGTGGCCAATCTGTTTTCAATGCAAGTTACCTACTCTCTTTTGAAAATGTCTACATGAAAGTTTGCATATACTGAGTCCCAAATCTATTTGCTTTTTGGTATTTACTCTTTAGATAACTTATTTTTCTTGTTGATTTTACATGTTTTATAAAAATTCGTAATGTTGAATTTTATTTATTTTTTCCTGCTTATTTATTTAGCCACAAGAGCCGAACCACAAAGAACGCATAAGTGGGAATATTTTATGCTGCATTTGCCAAGCAAATAAAAATCTTACTCCCCTTCCCTTTTCCAACTACAACAGGAACTATATAATTTTAATACAGTATTCAAATGCCATAAAACTAATGCCGGAAAATTATAGTTTTGCCAGACAGTCCAAAAATGCTTTGATAAAAGCAGGGTATGTTTTCTTATTGCATAGCATCCCCGGAGCATGCCATTTTTCATGCAGATTTATGTAAAAATTTCTGAAATTTGTGCGTTAAGAAAAATGCGGAGTAATAAAGTGCCCCAACAGCGAGCGAGCGAGTCGAGTACACAGAGATTGAGGGAAAACTTTCGCCATCGAGCATTGAATTTGATGGCAAATAATGCGACTTTATAACTAGTTTAAATGCACTTTGCATGTCGCAGTCGCTTGATAAAATTATTTAAACATTTTTCGCTCTTTATGGCGTCTGCTGCTTGACTTCAGCTCAAGGGTTCACTCCGCCTCGGCGCGTCCCTTCGCAAGACTTGCGGCTTCACTATGCTCCGTTCTTTTACTCTGTGCCTGCCAACAATGGCTTATAATTATTATGCTCTGCCCTTTTTCCATTTCTTCTTAATTTTTGCATTATTTTTTTATATTTTTTACATTCCTTTGTTTTAAGTCTTCAGCAGCTTACTGCCTTTCACTTAAACATATACGTGTATATATATTATTTATGCAAGCGCAGTAAAAGGCTGCGTTCTGCGGCATCTGCATCTGCCTGCAGCATGCTGCAAGTTGCCATCATTTCATTTTTAAGTAGTCAGCAACAAAACAATGGCTCCCCACAATAGCAGTACAGGCATTAAAATCATCAGCAACACAAACTGAAGCAGAAAGAGGAAGTTCACGTCTGACAGCCGAGGGCTGCGAGCAATTCTGCCAATTATTAATCCATCGGGCTTAAGTGCAATGCCTACTTACAGCATGCGCACTTAAATTATCAGATTTGAAATACTTGATGCTATTATATAAAAAATATATCGATTTGAAGACATATTAATTCTGAACAATACATTAGAGTTATGTTGAATAATTAGCAAATGAATCACAATGTACTCATACTTATCTAAACTAATCTATGCTTGATATACTTTTAAATTATGAGTTTATTTGCGATTATTTATTAAGTTATTTTTAATTAAGAATTAATAATATATTCCTAAACTGTTTTTGAACTAAATTTAATCTATTTTATCTCTATTTTTTTTTTTTTTATTTTACCTCTGCATAACATAGCTTAAAAAAATCTAAATTAAAATGATTTACATTTTAATCTATAAAGCGTACTATGATTAAGTTCAATGACCCATAAAAGAAGTCAATCAGTAATTGATTTGATTATATTATGTCAAAGTAAAGCTGTGTCCAGATAGCAAAGTGCACTTAAAGTA